AAAAAAAAAAAAAAAAAAAAAAAAAAGGAGATCCAAGGGCAGTCTAGGCTTAAAAGTTAGTAGCAGACTATTCGGGCTCACGCCCGTCGCGCTGTGGACCGCGTTATTGTACAGGCTGTCAATGAGAGCAAGTTTCTCATCCCAGTCTATCTGATTTGACTTAATATAATGCCTCAGCAGGTGTTGTACAGCGCGGTTCAACTGTTCTGCTTGTCCATTCGCCTCGGGATGGTTCCCTGATGTCATCTGCAGTTGCGTTCCCTGTTCTGCAGTTGCGGCTTTCCACAATTCACTTGTGAATCACACATCACGGTCACTGACTATAGACTTCGGCAATCCAAAATCTCTAACCCATTTTTCTTTGAACAACTTAATTACATGCTCAATCTTCGGTGTCTCAGGCATCGCAACTAATCTAGCAACTTACTAAACCTATCCACAATAACGTAGACGTAGCGCATTCCACTCTTGCTGGTGACCAGCGTATCCATGAAGTCCATGGACAGGCTCTCACCAGGCCTTTCCGGAATAGGAAGGGGCTTCAGGAGCCCAAGAGGAGCCTGAGTACGTGGCTTGTCTCTTTGACAGACCTGACAAGTCTCCACGTACAACTTCGCGTCTCTCATCATTGTGGGCCAACAAAACCGCTGCAACAGATTAGCTGATGTCTTCTTAAAGTCAAAATGTCCAGTGGCATCATGACATTCTCCTAAAAATAAACAACGCAAAGACTCGCTATTCGGGACACACAATCGTTTATTCCCTGCCTTCTCGAGAAACAGCAAGCCATTGACCAACTCAAACTCAGCAGAAGTCTTTTTGTCCTTCGCCTGGAGTCTGCGTATGATCTCAGACATGAACTGGTCCTCGCGATAGGCTTCCACCATGGATTGAGTAACATTGTCCGCAAGCCCGAACTCAGTGATCAGCGCACCTGAGAACTCAGGTCTGCGCGACAAGGCATCAACAACCTTGTACTCGCCCTTGATGTACTGGGGCTCGAAGTCATATTGCTCTATGACTTCGATCCAACGCTTGAGAGCGCCAGAGAGTACCGGCTGAGTTCTCATCCATCTCAGGGTCTGATGATCAGTCCTGAGGATAAAGAACCTCCCAAGGAGATAGTGTCTCCAATGGGTCAGAGCCTTGTACACCGCATAAAGTTTCTTCTCATAGGTGGACTTTGCCAACTTCTAAGAGGGCATCTTTTTGGACATGTACTCTACTGGCCTCAACTTTTTCCCCTCCTGTTGTGCAAGTACGGCTCCTATGCCATATTGGCTAGCATCCATAGTCACTATGAATGGCTTATCAGGATCAGGAAGTTTCAAGACTTCGTAATGCATCAACGCATGCTTCAGATGTCTGAAAGCAGCCTCGCATCTCTCAGTCCACTCCCACGGGGTGTCAAGGCGGGTCAGATCGGTCAAAGGTGCGGCCACTATGCTATAGTTCTCCACGAAGTTATGATAGTAGCCGGTCATCCCTAAGAATGATCTCATCTCATTCACAGACTGAGGACGCGGCCAATCACGAATGCTGGCCACCTTCGCGTCATCGGGCTTCAACCCTTCCGCGGAGATCTCATGACCCAAGTATAAGACACGGGTGCAGCCAAACTCGCACTTCTCACCGTTGATCTTGAACTTGTGCTGTCGCAGGACGCTGAGAACTTTGTCCAAATGTGCAACGTGCTCCTTGACAGTCTTACTAAAAATAAGTATGTCATCGAGGTACACGATGACAAACTTATCTAAGTAGTCGTGGAATATCCGATTCATAGCGTGGTGAAAGGTGCCAGGAGCATTGCAAAGGCCGAAAGGCATCACCACAAACTCGTACAGACCGTACCTGGTCTGAAAGGCGGTTTTGTGTTGATCCTCGGGCCGGATTGCAATCCGATGGTACCCGGACTTCAGATCTATCTTACTGAAGTACCGACACCCTTGCACTCTATCTAACAGATCATCGATGCGCGGTAGGGGCTCTCCATTCTTTACAGTGATGGCATTGAGGCCCCTATAGTCAATGCACATCCTAAGAGTACCCTCCTTCTTCTTAGGCACAAATAGAACTGGAGACCCATAAGGAGAGACACTCGGCCGGATCCAACCCTTCTCTACGGGTTCCTCGAGTTGTCGGCGAAGCTCATCAAGCTCGCCTGGAGAAATCCGATAGATCCTACCCTTCGGGATACTAGACCCTGGGATAATCTCTATCGCGTGGACGACCTCCCTCTCAACAACCCCTGTCGGCTTTTCAAATAGATCAGGGTACTTGGCAACTACTCCCTCTATCTCCAGCGGCATTTTCACCGGCTCGCCTGCAGCAGAGACATAAACTAAGTACATACCCTCCTCCTGATTTTGCTTATAATAGTTATAGAACGCGGCCGCACACATGCATCCATGGGACTCGATCAGACTACTAGCTTTGAACTTGTGCAATCTGGCGGTCCCTCCACCTGGCAAAGTGTGTTTGACCACTTTTCGGTCCCAGTCAAATTGGGGCTGTGCCACAGAGAGGTAGTACATACCTAACAACATGTCCATGGGGAGTTCATCGCTCACTAGGAACGAGACGTGATGTCTCAAGTCCCCTCCCGCGTACGGGAAACAACACTCTACATCCTGGAGGTAGTCGTTAACTACCATGCGCTGTTTGTTGGCACAAGTCGACTCAGGCGCTGTACTCGCCCCTGTAAGCGCAGTCTCTCAACGCACACGCGACTAATAAAGTTCTGCGTCGAGCAAGTGTCATAATAGGCCCCGGCCTTGCGGCCGCCAATGACTACCTCGCTGACGAACATCTCACCCTTCGGGGCTTTGACTAGTGCCGTCCAAGAAGCTAGCGGGTCTGATCTAGACCACTCCACCTCTAGCTCCTCTAAGGACTCAAACACATTCATCGAACAGAGGGTCGATGGGTTTAGCTTGGGCCATCTCTCGAGATGGTGAGGGTGTCTCCACCACCTCGACCCTAGCAGGAACAACTACTATTCCTACTGGCCCGACGTGTTTCCCGGAGCACTGCCAGAAGTACTAGCAACATTGCTACCAACGGGAAGAGAGGATCCCAACACTTGCCCCATCGTAGGCGGGATCTTTTCTGTCACTTTCTTGTTGCGGCACTTGAATTGGCTGTGGCCATATTGACCACAACGAATACAGGCCTGCCGTGAGTAACGGTCTCTCCACACGTCCTCAGTAAGACCTGCTTTCTCCCATGGAGGAGCATTGGGGTCAACTTGACTCCTAGACCGGGAGCCTCCGCCGCGTCTACCGGTCGCCTTACCTTTTTGAGAAACGGCAGCGACTACTCCACCCTCTGAAGCATATCTATGCTGCCTGCCTCTGAACCTACTCCCTCCTGGAAGTTGCCGTCCACCTCGATGGTTGAACCATCGTTGTCGACAAACATCAAGCGACCTTTCACTTTCCAGTTGGGAGGCAGTGTCTTCTTTCTCCCATCCGTAGTGGGTGTTTGTCCATGCCCTATCTTAGCTTTAAGGTCTAGGGCCACGTTGCTAAACGAAGGGAAGTTGTACACATTGATGTTGGCCTCTTTTGCCAACTGATTCCTGAGAGGCTGAGAAAAGCATCTCAGGTACGAAGTCAATAGGACCTGGGGATCATAGCGCACCCCAGGGACACAGATCAGACGCTCAACAGCGTCGGTGGCTTCCCTTACTGACTTAAACTGCCGCGCTGTCAGGATCGCGTCAGTGGCCCTTTGGGCCTCCTGAGGATCATGCCACCTCTCTTCCACCATCTTCAGGAAGTCCTCCAATTTCTAGGAGGCCGCCCAAGCGCGGAAGTCATGACCATATCCCTGAAGTTGCACTAGACCGCTCAACCATCTTGTTGCACTACCCTCTAGGTAGGAAGCAGCCACAAGCACTTCTTCGTGCGGCAAGGTCAGCTTACACCTGACGTAGACCGGCACTGCCCTCAACCATGTGTCGAGGTTTTCGCCTCTCTTGTCCCCTGTAAAAGGTTTGGGAGCGGCGATGGCCGTCTTTGGAACCCACTGCGTTTGTCCCGGTCCCTGCATCACTCCGGGCTGTGGACCCGGTGACACAGGTTGCTGTGCTAGCTGTTGGGGCTGCGTGACCTGAGGCTTCACAAACTGCGAGACAGCAGGCTGCGTGGTGACAGCAACCTGCGACGGACTTGGAGTGAACACTGTCTGTACAGGAACCTGCAAACTACTCCCTGCTGTTACCCCTCCTCACAGCGGCATACCCAAGGAAACTATAGCAACCGTTGACGGGCCTACATATGGGGATACCCCTGTCACCGGTAGGACAGAAAAGGGAGGATACGGCACGGGCCAGGCACCAGGCCCGGCTGGTGATGGTGTTGCCTGAGCACGGCCTGCCAAAACGACTAGGCTCTGTTGAATGTCCTGAAGGATTGTAGTTTGCTGCTCCAGCATCTCTATAACGCCTAGCAGGGCTCTCCTAACTACCTTCACATCAGCATCCATATGCGTCAGGTCCATCAATTCTAACTCCTCTATGTCTGCCCCTCTTCGCTGCATCCTGACTCTTCTTCTGATCATCTTCTCCTTTTCCGCTTTTATCTCTCCTAAGGCCCGCTATAGCTGTGCCTCCTGCAGAGCTGCCTGCTGGATGGCGACATCCTCTGGAGTCAACACCGCGGCCTGGCTTGCCATAATGCCAGTGGACTGCCTCACAGTCTGCACGACCGTTGACCCGACGGCACCTGAACTACCGGCTTGGGAAGTCTGCCGCACAGAAGTGACCATTGCTGCAGTGGCCATGGCTGCTGTAGCACCGGCCTCGCTAACTAAAGTTCTGCTGGCCTCGGCTGCTCTAGCCCTCCTTTGCTCCTGCTGTCTCTCCCTAAGTTGGCGGAACAAAATCCTATCACCCTCCGGTCCTAGGGACACGTGAGCTCTCGGGCCTTTAGCTGATCGCAAGATCCTGCGGTCGTCCTCTCTGATGTCCTCCTCGTCGCTCATAGGCTACATCGCTTTGCACTGTCTACGCTAGATCATACTAGATGCCTACCGCAACATAGTGCACAGACCCACTAATTAGTGGGTGGCTATTTCGGAACAGATATCACTTGAGGTCAACAGGTAAGTCAAATTCCTACAACTGAAACTATTTTTAGTCTGACTCGTCCGCAAACAAAAGCACCAGAACAATAAACAGTTCTAACTAATGTTGTCTGTCAGATGTCAATGGCAGTACATCTAACTAATCAAAAACATAAAAATAAAATTAGTTGTGTGGATAGGACAGCATGGCATTTTCTCGAACTTATCACCTGGAATCAACCCCTCCCTTAGTTCCCCTGAGTATCACTTGACGTCAGCGTCCCTGAGCAATTTGGAGGCGTAGCGTGTCTAAAGGTGTGTGTCTTCGGCCCACCCCTGTGCCCCGAGTATCCCCTGAGTCGGCCAGCCTTGCACGTATATTTATCCTCGGCGTGCCGTGAGCCTTCCAACCATTGGCTGATCCAGGGGCAATTCAACGTCCGCCCCCAAGTGACTCCAGAAATTATTTTACGCCGCAGCCGGACGACGATCACAGTCAATGGTTCGCCTTCCCGTGTTTATTTATAGACGCCGGGTGCTCGTCTTTCCTGTAGGGCTGGCCTGCCCAGTGGTACCCATCTAACAGCGCAGTAAACCGAACAAAGGACAAGCAACTAGGCATGCGTGCTCTACTCCCTGTGGGTTGGCATGGTGACCGTGACCCAGTGCTTCGTCCAGGGCCCTTCAGAAAGCTTTGCCCATCTCCACCCAGATGCTCCACATGAACATTGCCGACTCTCAAGGTTGAGCGCACTCGACACCTCACGATGAGAGGACTCTCAAGAAGGAACACACAACCTCACGGTAAGAAGTGTCGGAGAGGGAAGACAAGGTTAAGAGCAACGTACCTCATGGCAGCATATACCATAGCCAAAGAATGGCGAAGTATATATGACAATCTAGCTATGCATTGGCGCTTCGAGTCTGCATGTGATAGTAATTGGCGAGACCGCGGAGAAGTCCGGAGATACGTGACACAGAGTTTCTCTCTGCTCCCAACCACAGAGATAAGCTCACCAGATGACCAAATGGCGATTGCGATGACCAGTCACTGCATCGGCACAACCAGCATTATCCCGCCATTCCACCTCAGCATCAATCACACATTAGATAGTTCTCATCACACTGTCCAGACCACATTCACCTCACATAGCCTTCCTGGCGATCCCCTCACCTCCTGGGTCGCCTTACACTTGTCTCCACCCTCCTCACTACACACCACTTACGGCCAAACTCGCCCAGCAGACCGCATGTATGTACCGCATAAGGCAGAAGACAAGCACCAGATGAGCGCAAACGTACCACAACTCCGATACCAAATTGCAAGGAAGATGAGCAATAGCGAACTCCAGCAATCAAACAGCATCATACATATGAGTCCAGATAGTCTTGACCTCGAACCAACAACATAATTGCATCACGAGATACACCAAATAAAAACACACCAAGAGTTCATAATTGACAATGCTGAAATAGTCCCATCATCATCAACGAAGAACCAGAGTTGATATCCTATCTGGCGCTCTGCGCCCAGACTACATGTGGCAGATCCTATCTAGCCTATACTACGAAGCCGAAAGATGACATCAACAGTATTCCCGAAGTACGAGCATAAGGCGACCAATGTCGCACGCTTCCAGCACCAGGTATGTCTCGCGCTACACTCACAACCTCGTTCCCCAACTCACAGATGCCACTAGCACCCAAGGACCACCCTGCGCCACACCCAGCACACRGCGGAGCAGCTCGGCTATGGCTGCCCGCTCCTTCCCTGCTCGCCCGTGAGAGCGTAGGCGCCAGCCAGCAAATAGCGCAGCAGCAGCGCTTGCGCAGCATGCAACCAGCACCCGAATGCCGAATGAGGAGGCAGGCCCTTCCCTATATCGAAGTGGCCTGCCTGCGTCCAGTCCAGGAAGCTTCCAGTAGGCTCCGGTAGCCTGAGGCCCAGTCATGAGGAGAGCAGGCCTTGGGCCTGAAGTGGTTGCATGTGCCCAACTGCTTTCGGCCTGTGTTTGGCCTGGTACCCGTATCCAGCCCAGGGCCTGCTTCACGTACATTCACACAGGCGGCCCAGGGCCTGGGTTCACTCAACCAACTGGCGCTGCGCAACTGCCTGAATTTTCCTGAGTTGCGTGGTGGCCAGAAAAGGGCCCTGAGGGCCTCGTCGAGCCTGCCTTCACTTAGGGCGGCCGAC